TTGACAAGAAAATGCATGTACTACGTTTTCGGTTTATTTACTCAATGTTTATGATATATATTTGTACATTAGAGAATTAAAAATTAGTTAAAAATATATAAAAAATGATCCCTAGTGCAGCATTTTAACCAACATTAACTGGTAATAGAATTCCGTTATAGAGGGAGAAAAAAATTAAAACTAAAAAATATATATTTAAAAAATAATAATAATAATAATAAATATATCAAAATTTGATATAAGATTAATATAATTCGATAAATCTATGATTATATTTAAAAACTAAAATTTTTATTATGTGAAATCAATTATAAGATCCTTATAATTATTTTTATATACTCTTTCACATAGACCCAAAGACTTTACACATTTTCTCTTATTTTGTCTAAAAATCCTAGAGAACACCATCTCTAAATACCTCTAAAAGAAATTGAGAAGCACAAAAAAATATTCCTCATATTTTGCTCTTCTTCCATATATATCTAGATACATTGAATATTTATAAAAGAATCAAATCCTAATTAATAAAATTTTCTTCCTCCACGAGGACTCCTTGTATTAGACTTCTTTATTCCACTAGGACATTTGACTCTAGAAATCCCAAAACACTTGTCAATCTCAATAATTTTTTATTTGATGAGTATTTTATCTAGTTTTGTGCCTTTTGAATGGAAAATACTTTTACTTCATACTATTTTCAATCTTCGTCGATTATCCTTGTTAAAATTTTGATCATTGAATCTTTTATGATATAAAACTTGGGGAGAGAGAGGTAAAAAAGTCAAAAACAAAAAAAAAAACACTTAGAGATCAACAATCAAAGAACATATGAGAAAATTGATATAATATTAGTGTCGTTCACCAAATTCATGCCTATATTCATGGAGAAAATCAAATTCTTTACTACGTGAGATCAATTACAAGATATTTAAGTTATACCCACTCAAACATAAATTTTAATGTATACCCTATCATATAAACCTCGAAGAATATATTTTCTCTCATCTACTCTAAAAACCGTCAAGAGCACCCTCTCTAGACAAAAAGAATATTAAAAATACCAAAAGTATTCCTCATGTCTTTCTCTTCCTCCATCAATAGATATACATATGATATTTATAGAAAAACCAAATCTGAATTACCAGAGTTATCTTCCTCCACGAGGATTTCTTCTTGTACTACAATTTCTTATCCTATTAGGACACTCGCTCTAAAAATCCTAAAATAATTATTAATCTCAACATTTATAATCCTTTTCTTATGATAAGAAAATAATGTGGCATATAGACTAATACGTTTGAGCAAATGAAAAAAAAAATCATAATACATATAACTCTTAGTTGTAATAAGAGTTATCTTGACAAATAAATCTGGAAACTACTTTATGATGGAGTTTAAAGACAAGCAAAAAATAAACTGCTAAATAATACAAATATAATTGGTATATTTTATAAGTAAATTATAATTAATTAGGCAAAGTGCTTTGGATAGATTAGATGATTAAATTTGCCTCACAACAAATAGTTATAATAATATTTCCAGTGATTACAATGGCAGAAAATATTTTCAATGAGATGATATTATGATTTAAATCTTCACACTTTTAAAAGCTTAATTTTGTCTATTAATAATATTTTTTAGATCAAAAAGTTTTTATTAATAAAATAGTATAGATAAGAGTGGGAAGAAATTGTAGCTTTCCAATGAAGAAACTGAACTCGAAAGAGAAAGCATAGAAAATAATGGTTAGTAAGTGTGTCCATATCCTAAAGTTAATAAGAATGAAAAATAAAAATATCTGATTAATGTCAATTCTAATTTTTTCATTATTTTGGGACAAACATGATCCAACCTATTTTAGATCAGCTTAAGATTCGATACTGAATTGATGATGAGATTATATCGAGAAGATCTTACACAAGGGGCTAAACATGCAAATAGGTGTATTAAAAAACATACCTGATACAGTCTTTCGATGTTTATGTTAGTCAATTATTTATGTTAAATAAATTAAATTTTGAGTTCTAAATTCTTAAGAGTAAAAGTTATACGAATAAACCTCGTTTAGGCCCTATCCAGTTAGAGATAGAAGATCATAATAAAGACAAATATAAAATGACAACTTTATATTCTTTGTATGCTCTAATCCACAATCAATCCATGATTTAAGGATGAATCATAGATTTGAATGCATGATTGAGAAATTTTTTTCCTCAAAACCTATATAAATATATATTACTTTGATGAATGATATCATCCCCTTCATAATAATTTATTTAATTTTTCATGATACCACAGCCTTCTTACTTTAAGCAAGGCTCCCTCTTCCTTACTCTCCCTTTCTCACTACTCTGCTGATATATCGGCAATTGCTATTTTTCTCCCTCACTCTCTCTGTTGTTGCTTTACAATTATTGAGTTCTATTTCTTGCTTTTGGATTCTGCATTGTACCGAAAATTAAAATGTACAACTCTTCCATACTAATCTCCTAGCGTAATTTGCTTTACAACAAATCTACTCTACTTTGCTAATCTAATCGGTCTCCTCCAGTGATGACCTATTTCTCCAGTGATCATCACTATTTAGTTTTACTTGATAAGCATTCCCTTTACCCCTATATCGATGCCTACTATCTAGCATCTTCATCAGTGTCATCATCCCCTTCTTATCAACCACCAAGCTCACCAGCACCTTTAATCTATGGTCAATCTCTTAGTGATAATCTACTACCTTCCACCATCCCTTCGACCGTGCTATCAGCACTCACAATCAGAGGACTCAAGAGAGGAAGGAAAAGATCGCATTCTTTTACATATTTTAGATTAGATCCTCTGTTGTGTACTTTTTAAATATGATTTTCTAGTCAAATTAAATACTCTTCTATGCACTTCTCAAATCTAATCTTTTCCACAAGATCAAATCTTCGCCATCTATGCATCCAAATCAAATCATCAGTTGATTCTAGATTTTCCTTATTGGATCACAATATCTTCTTAGCATATCTTCTACCTAATGTTCTAATTATTATTTTCTTAGAAAATAACTTTAACTATAATTATTAGCAATTATGATGTCTCTATAATAACAATTATCGAGAACTCATCCATCAGTTATGTGACAAAATTAGACACAAAACAAAAGTTTATCGATCTTGACCCAAGCCTATTACTATACTATAAGGAAATCTAGGGGCGACATCGCATGCACAGTGGAAGAATAGAAAGAGAAATATTAAATTTTCATAAAAAAAGTTTCATCATCGTACGAAGATTGGTGCACAAAAACCTACGAAACTAAAAACCATGTGTAAGATAGTTGTGTTACCTAGGAATATCATATTGTTGAATATCAAATTTTGATGATGAAACTAATCAATGTGTTTATATTTTAATCTGATAAGCAGATAAGATTTCCTCAAGACAGTTGAGGAAATCTCTCAACGGTTGAGAAGCAGATAAGATTTCCTCAAGGCAGTTGAGGAAATCTCTCAACAGTTGAGAAAAATCCTCCATGCTGAATGTGTATAACCTCCCTACTGAGTGTGTATAAATGGCTGTCAAGAACTCACTATCAAAATGTATTAGGCAATTATATCTTATACATTTCATAGTTTCTTCTACAATTTCTATCTTTCTATCTTCTTCGCTTAATTTCTATCATGGTATCAGAGCTGTTTGCCTAGAGCAAGCCCTCTTCTCCGGAGTCCAACTATCCCTCTCGTGGCGACGCCTCCGCCCCTCAGCCGTAGCCATTCGCTGCAGCCTACTGCAGCACTTGCGGCTGCTAATATCAGATCCTAAAGGAAGCACAGTCACGGCCTTTGTTTCTACCGCCGGTTGCTGCTCCCTTGCCAACCGAAGTCTTCCGTTGAAAAACTCCGCTGCTCTTCCGGCCACCAAACTCCAATACTGCATTACTGCAACTATCTCCAACCTTGCAGATTTCTCCAGCATCGCTGCAGAAATCGCTGCAAGCTGCAGAGATTTCTTCCACCTCGCTGCAACAATCTCTCCTGCACTCTGAATCGCTGTAGCCTACCAGTGCCTCTGGAAGAAGCAGCAGCCCTCTTCGGCATTGCATACAGCTACTCTTCTACATCTGACGTCTTCATCATCTACCTCCCGCCACAGCCATCGCTGCCTTTCTTGCTACAGATTGCTCGCCCATCACTGCAGTTCATCACGCTGCAGCCTTCTCTGCAGTTCATCGCGCTGCAGCCTACTCTGCAGCGCATCGATCTGCTTTTCTCCTCCTCCCTTCCTCCTATATCTTTACATCTTCTATAAAGATCACTTGACCCGCCACAAAATATCTGGGATGTCTTCATTTTCCTCTTTCGATATTCCTGTCCCTATTTCTGCAGGGACTCTGAGCACTTCTCAAAGTCTTATCACCATCAATGCTGCAGCACTCATTCCCTTCAAATTATCCAAAGGCGGCAACTACGCATCTTGGCGGGCACAACTTTCTAATCTTTTATTTGGCTATGATCTCTTAGGTTACGTTGATAGCTCTCTCCAGTGTCCACCTGAAATGATCAACATCCCAAGCGAACTCAATCCAGTGCCAAATCCAACCCACCAACTATGGTTACGTCAAGATCGCCTCATCCTCCAAGCTATTCAAGCTTCCGTTGCTGGATCCATTGCCCCGCTGATATCCTCATGTACGACTGCTGCAGAAGCATGGTGCAAATTACAAACAACTTTGG